CTTTTCTCTGAACTTGACACTTTTAAGTGAAGTACAATGAGACAATGGAGCAAGCACTGCCAAGACTGGACACTTCTGGAGACAGGCTACACAGGCTCTAGCCCAGACGGCAAGGCTGAGCTGGCCATTCTGAGCATCTCAGAAACAGTCTAGGAATGCCAGGGTCCAGACTGGTGATGGTCGTGGTAGTTGTGACACCAGCTCTGGAGAATAAGAACGGTCTCCATGTGGGCCAACCTTGGAAAGTTTACTTATTTATCCACCAATGGAAATATCCCAGAATATGTACACAAACGATATTTCTGACTTGAGCTCTAGGCTGGAATCCCAAAGGTCCCAGCAACAGTCAAGGAATGACCTCAAACCAAGGACGTAAAGGGGCAGGAAAAGTCCAGCACGCTTAAAACTCTTACAAGACCTTAGAAACTTCAAGAGCTCAGTACAATCTCAGGAATGGGGATCAAATGTATGGAGACGGTCAACATCTAAGAATGTTTTCTTATGACAGTTCAGATAATTCCATTGTTAGCAAGAGTGATAACTTTAACTTTCACTTTTCCTCCACAGAGAGGAGGCAGCAACTGGATCCAGCAACAGAATGGGGAATAAACTATTCTATAGAAGGGAATTGAGTTCACCACCTTACCTACACAAAGAGCCAGCAGGAATGTAAAAACCCCACGGTGTACATTTTCACTTAAAATTAAATTCAGGAGCCAAAGAGATGCCCTAGTGGTTAAGAGCACTGGTCTATCTCTTGTGTAAGACCCAGGTTTGGTTCCTAGCACCAATATGGTGGCTTACAAACATCCATCACTCTTGGAGATCTAATCCACTCTTCTGATCTCCGTGGTCACATGGTGCACAGCTATGCAGGTAAAACATAAAATAAATGAATCACAACATAATAATTCACATAATAGTTCACAACATAAAATAAATGAATCTTAAAAGAAAATAAGTAAAATTAAATTCAAATATACACAAAACTGAGGCATTTAAATAATTAAATATTGGAATCTTTATAAGAATCGTCATCTTCAAGATGTATGCGCCATGTTTGCATGCCAGACTGATACACCTGCAACACCACTCCTTCACCTAAGGTTCAGGAAACATCACCAAAGGAGTGGTGGGAAGATTGTGAGAACCAAGGGACCAGGACGTCAGCTACAAGCTGTATCTTCTATATATGACAAGGAAGCTGCACCCAGGAAATCTCAAAAATAAGTTTTACCTAAACAAGTCCTGCACATTGACAATACTAATTAGCATTTCAGTACGGATATGGGGAATCTCACAAGGCTGCTGAGACAGAATCTTCTCCAGAAATAACCCCCCTTATAGGTTATCCAGTTCCAAAGCATTCGCTCTAAACACATATACACATGAACAGCATTAAATGAACCCAGATGGCTGTATAGCTATATATATATATGTGTGTGTGTGTGTGTGTGTGTGTGTGTGTGTGTATGTGTGTGTGTGTGTGTGTGTGTGTGTATAACACTAATAATTAAAGGAGTCATGAATTTTATGAGAAGTCACAGGAAGAAATGGAAATGATGTAAATGCAGTACTTATGTATAAAATTATCAAAGAAATTTAAATTAGTTTTTTTAAAAATAATCAGCATCTCTAGAAATATGTTTGATATAGAAATATGTTTGTTTCATAATAACTTGTCCTAATATTTCCATAGCCTGTAAAATGCCCTTCACTCCCCCACAGTACATCACCTGATCTTAATAGAAAAGCAACTAAGTTGCTCAGAGTATGTGTAAATGATTCAAAGTCTATGTAAACGATCTAAGAAATGAATCTGTAAAACTGTTGGCCAGAAACATCACATATCAATAGTTAATGTATTTCACTAAGAACTTTTTTGTTACAAATTTGTAACAACTAGAATAATTTATCATTTACAAGCCTGTGCTATTAGTCCCCTAAAGCTCTTATTTTTATTACATTTCACAAGTTATAAAATGTTAATAAAGAATAAAGTTTTTTTGTTTGTTGTTGTTGTTGTTGTTTTTATCATCTTGTTCTCACTGTAAGTTCCTTTCCTGGACCCTTGCCTAGAAGGCTGTATTTTTGTTTAGCAGTGAGCATTGTCAATCTGTAGCTGGCTCTATTCTGATCATTTGAATATGAGTCATGCCATTTAATCCTCATTCACAAATCTGTCAGAGAAGAAGGACTCAACTTCACACAGGAAAACCTCAGAACCTAGGACTGAGGTCACCTAGCTACTGAAGTGACAGGCTATCACTGGAAAACAAAGTCAACCTGTCTTCAAAGTCTTTGCTACTAATCCCCTATTCAATGACCAAGATGTCCTGGTGACTTTATGCCCTCATTTACAGCACAGAGCTGGAAGGATACTACCAAACACCCTTGCCTGACACTGCCATCCACCAGTCCCCTGAGAGGATAGAGAGCAAGGCTGAATTTGCCAGGAATCAGATTGCAGGCTACTGCCACCTTGTGGTGAACCTTTGCCCACATCCCCTTAAGATGAAGGTCATCCTTGGCTGCTTACCAAGTTTGATGACCTTCCTCTTTGAATCATCCTGCCTTCACCTCCAACGTGCTAGGATTACAAGCACAGGCAGACACACCTAGGTTTAGTCAGTGTTGGGGATCGAACCCAGGGCTTCATGCATGCCAGATAAATGTTCTACCAAATGAACTACTTCTATGGTCGTAATTCAGCATATGTTTTTATTCAGATGTTTATTGTTCATCTCTAGAAGTTCCACTTGATCCTTTATATACTTCATCTTCTTCTGCGGAAGCATTTTTACTCTAGGTCTTGCTTACAATAACTCTTTCACATCTTTGCCGGCTAATTCTAGTGTCTCAGCTTCAGTGGGTCCATCTTACTGCACGACTTCTCTTCTCGTAGTGGACTGTATCCTTCTCCTGCTTCTCTGCCTATCTGGACATTTCCACGGCAATTAGTGGTTCTGAAAACTTGTCAGTGAGCACTGGAAATCTTGGTAAAGAGCTCGGTAGTGTTCTGCACTACTTTAGCAAGGTGGACCTATCTCTCCCCACTTTGCTGGTGGGAATGCATTTTCCAGCCCAGCACTCTCCGGAAATGGAATTTCCTGCTGCTCTTTCCAAGAAGGGAAATCCACACACTTCCTTTCTTGTGTTCTTATTTTGTTCTGGCCATAGATGTATTGTTCTAAGTGTCCCATGTCACCACTCAACCCAGAACTGAAGTCCCCTCTTCCATTCCAGTGTAGCTCTCAAACACTGTGTTTGCCTGAGACCCTATCCCTCCTTTCCCAACCTCTGAAGGAAATTGTGAGTATATCATACATCTGAGTTTGTCTCAGTGGCTTCTTGATGCGACACTCCTTCCTGATCTTGTGACTCTGCCTCCCTGCACCTTGGCTTAGAAACTGCCCTTGTGGTAAAGGTGCCCATCATTCTTTCTTTCTATCACAGGTCTGCACTGGTCATTGTTTAGCCTGGAAACAGCCTTTCTCGTCGTCCTTTTTTGTTGGAAGATGAGTTCTATAAACTTTGTGAGGCATGGGGGTTCTTCTACCCCTGCTGAGAGCCCAGCTATCCTGTCTGTGCATCCCTCTAACAGGGTGCTACCCACTGAGGTCTTGGCTATTCTGTCTGTGCATCCTCTAACAGGGTGGTCCCCGCTGAGAGCCCAGCTATTCTGTCTGTGCACTCCTCTAATGCTGTGTTGCTGTTAGGGAAGAAGACTACTGACTGGGTGTACCTGAATCACTCTGTATCAACATCTAGCGAACAGCAAATAAAGTGAAAGCAGCCCTAAGCTGTATGAATGTCCTTCGACTCAAAGCATTTGTTAACCAGTTGCATGGTCAGGTCAAGGTACTAAATGTTTAGAAATGGAAACCAAGGACACACTGTAATGAATTAAACATCGTACCATAAAATGTGAAAGGTGGCAATATGTGAATGTCCACAGATCAAAAACAAATGAAGGCTTCTGGTGGGGGTGTGAGTGGCAAAGGACTTGCTTTTCTTTAAGGGTCTGGCTACTAGGAGTTTGACCATGTTCCTCCTCCTCCTCCTCCATCTTTTTTTGGGGGATCAAAAGGGTGGGGACAAACCTGGGAGGACTGGGAAGTGAGTGTAATTGGGGTACATAATGTGAAATTTCCAAATAATCAATAAATTCATTATCTTGGGGAAAAAACAAGCAAAAGTCGTATAGAGGACGTAGACTTTGTGGCAGGCACATCTAGAAAAAGACTGCTCCTATTTGGGAAGCTTGCTGTTTTGAGGAAGAAGAGACTGCAAGACAGCTCCTGGGAGGTATGTTGTAGTTGAGAAATATGTGGGTGGAGTGTGTACCAGGCAGGAAGCACCAGAGTAAAGGCCAAGGCAGCAGGAAATCCCGTTTCTCTGAGCAAAAGTTTCAGAAGGGGTTAAGGTTGGCCTGGGGTGAACTAACATTTTAGTTTCAGGAAAATGGATCTGGGGAGAAGGGGAGAAGGCCAGAAAGTTCAAAATATCTATAGCAAGACCCAACATTGTTATTTCAGGAGATAATAACTCCACTTTCAATGGAGTATAAAATGTACAAATTATGGATTGTCTATATGTATGTACATTCCATATAGCCACAATATCTATATACATGTTACACACATGCACACATGTACACTCATGCAAACACTCTTGCACACACACATGCACACACACATGCATACACACACATGCATACACACACGTGCACACACACACATGCACACACACACGTGCACACACACATGCGCACACACACATGCACACACACATGCACACACACACATGCACACACACACACACATGCACACATATCCTATTGACATCCTTGGCCTTGGGAAATAAACTTAGGTATGCTGGGAGCCAAGGCAGAGATGTCACTTCATTCAAATCATACTGAGTCTAGTGACTTTCTGAGGTGCCTATTTATTAACAATGAACAGAATGTTCAAAGAGATTAAGCTACGAGTTTTTTAAAAATATATATATATTAACTTGATTTTACTTTTATACATTCCCAGGAGTACCTCCCCCACCCTCACCCTGCACAAAGGTGGCATTCTCGATTTGAATCTGGGTCTTCTACTTCTTTCGGCAGCATTTTCTACCTCTCTTAGAACATCGACCTATTTGTTCTTCCTTTGCAAGGCAGTTAAGTACAGCGCACCGGCCGCCTCTTACTCTGCAGAAAAATCTTCGGAGGCTTTTTGGGATGAATGCATCTCCTGCAAGAGGAAAAAGAAAAAATCTTTTAGGAAAAGAGTGTTAGATAGACATTGGATCTAGCAAACTGTGCATCACCAAGTTAGTTTTCCATTTGCTTCTCTTTTTCTATAAAATTGCAAGTAAAGTTAAAAGGAGATTTAAGCAGGAAACACACAAATGTCTCTATGGGCTGCGTCTCAGCTGTGAACACACAGAGTAGCCTGGTCTATAATCCTCACATAAGAACTGGGGATTGAGTCTACCATTGTCCCTAGTACCTTTCAAGCAGCCCAGCGTGTCTCTCTCTCTACCTCCAACCACTAAGCCCATTGGAATAGATAGCTGTGGTTATCAGACCAAACTGTTCATTTCTGTCAGAATTAAAATTACACATCAGCTCTCTATGGTCTCATTAATAGTATTCCAGTGATGAGGTGAGTGGAGAGTTGGCATCTGTGGAAGTATTTAGTCTTTTAAGAGTGCAACAGGATGGACACAGAAGCCTGCTTTAAGACTCTTACTGATTGTTGTTGGAGGAAGCCATTGGTAATGTTTGTTTTCCATTCAGCAAATCCACCTGATTTCATGCTCACTCAGAAGAACAGAGAAGATCAGGCTAAATTATATGTTAGGAACCCTTTCCACCCCTTATTTCCCAACCCCTCTTACCTGGAGCAGGCACCAAGAACAGGATGAGGAATACAAATAGTAGATAATGAAGCCTCATAGCTGACTGCTTCCCAACAAGCTGAGACTGGGCCAAAACGTGTGCTTGTCCACCTATATAACAAGGTAAGCCATGATTACAATTCCTGTAATGTCACTGTGATGACAGTATGACATATTTCCTGACGTGTCTTTCCAGTGTCTCTCACCGCAAAGAATACACCCACTCATCCAGGGTGTAAGACTATTGGGTGTAGTCAAGCTTGTTGGGACTCTCTTGATGTCATCTTGGGCATGTTTCCAGATCAATTTCTGGCTGTGGGTACAGAGAGAACTGATACGGACATTACTTTTTAGGGATAGCCCCAGGACATGTAGCTTAGGACTGAATTCACTTTGAATACAATCTTATGCTTTCTGTAGCTATCTAAAATCCCAAAAGAGACTTGAGAGTCTTCTGAGAACCAAATCAGTTAAACTTTGGACATATTCAGAATTGAAAGACAGAACTAGAATTTAGATAGTAAAGACAAGAGGAAACTTGGACTCTATAGAAAGGCCTTTGCTATAGGTGTTCTCTAGTTTAAATAAAACCTGTCTTGTACTTCATCATTGTCTGAAAACTACCTAGATTCATGAATTGGGGTGTTTCACTGAGAGAGAGAGAGAGAGAGAGAGAGAGAGAGAGAGAGAGAGAGAGAGAACCATACATATTCATCTTTTCTCTGAACCAGAGAAGCTTACAAAGACACTGAAGACTTCTAGGTTTTCTTTACCCAGGAGCTTTTAAAGAAGACCAAGGTTCAGTTAATTCTACTAGGCATCAATTCAGTAGCTGAAGAATCAATAGATTCTTGACTAATACACATAAATATTGAGGAATTCTATTACCATTTTATGTTTATTGATAATCTATTCAGTCAGCTATTAATCATATGCCAGCCGTTGCAATGTGTCAATCCAACTATAGTGGAGTCAAGGTCCTGGATATGTTAGTTCTAGGATTGGGTTCAAAATACTGGGATACCTAGGATGGGAAGAAGGACAAAGCTTGATTTCTTCTCTCAAGGATCTTAAAGTAGACTCAAGCCTATGAGCAGATGTTCAACTATAGCATAGGTGCTGACAAGCAAGAATAGAGCATACTCAAGCACAGGGCTGTACAAATGTAAAACCTCGTGGCTCATACTGAGAAGTGGATTCAGATCTGTAGATTTAGGAATACTTTAGAAATATGTAGGAGCTATAAACACTGTCTTTTTAAAATCTAGTTTTCCTTTTACACGGTGGGCATTCCGCCCTCATCTTCTCTATCTGCCTCTCTCACTCTGATAGAGTGGATGGAGAATGATATCAGTGTTCAAAATTCAGTGTTTAAGCCATCGAGCCTTCAATGTGTATTTCTACATACAAGATACAAAACTTCTGGAGCGTCTTCGGTCTAACAATGACACAGCTGTAGAGACAGTGGGAAATGGTTTGGAATGGAGGAAGTAGATGAGTGTGGAGTGGGCTGGGTGTTGGCTTGGCAGCATACTATATCTTGTATATTACAAAAGACACAGTGACTGCCCTGAGTGTCAGAGAATGACCAGATCTCAACCATGTGTCACTGGGACATCCTATCACTCTGTTAAAAGTGGAGGTGAGTTGCTTTTCCGTGTGGAAAACAGATTCCACAGGTGAACCTTTGGCTACAACATGGGCCATTGAAGGCTGAGAGGCCTTTATAAGGTGCCACCACTGTCTCAGAAGAGGTTCACCAGGAATAGAGGTCATTTTTCCTTGTTAATCCCCTTACAAGTTCTGTTTGTTTTGCTTTGTGTATTCCTGTGGTTTCATATCCCTCAATGACATCTTGTCTGTGCTTGGAGCTTTAGAAGATACTGTCTTCCCTTTAAGGCAAAGATGGAAAGCTAACTCTCAATAGCAGAGGCAAATTAGGGAGATCATGGGTTTTGTTTCACACTGGGTAACTAAGTTGTGTGACAACACCAGGCTATATGAACCAACAGTTTGTGCCATTGTCAGACTGAAGGCTTTTCAGAGATTTTGTACCTTGTATGTAGGGGTACACACTGAAGTCTCTATGGCTTGAACACCTCTTAAATTTAAACATTGATTTTATTCTTCATCCACTACATCAGGATGAAAGAGGCAGAGTGAGAAAGTGAGGATAGAGTGTCCAAAGCAGGGATAAAAATTTACCACAAAGGATTCTTGGCTTATCCTGAGTCATCAGACTCAAATTACAGCAGAGTCAATAGTTCAGGCAGTCACACAGACATGATTTGTCCCCAGAAGCAAGATCACAGAGGTGGAAAGCGCAGAAGTATTTGGGGAAACAGTGAATAGTGGCCAAGCTTTGGGACAAGTCTGTGGTTGATTTAGTTAACGAAGCTTGGTATGGTGGGATTTAAGCTAAGATTCAAGTTACCTAAAATTCTGACCTAACCGATAATTCCTTACATGAAGACAGAAGTGATGGTCTGGAACAGTGCACACAATTTAGCTAATGAATCTGAAAAAAAAAAAACCTCAAAAGACTTGTGTCTACATAATCTCCCTATAAATAGTGCTATCCAATGACTGCTGGAGCTTGACCACCGTGGGATGTTCTATTCAACCTAGAAACATTCACTTTGTCTGGAACTTTCTGCCTTCTGGTCCTCACAGTAAAGACATGGTCTAGAGCAGAATCTCACAGCTTAAGAACTTCTGTTAGGGATAACAGCCCTACACAGGCAGTGCAGGACCTCTAGCTCTTGTTAAGGATGTGGTCTAGCCCATTCATGTGATGCAGAGGTCTCACAGGGTGTCAGCGAGTCTCAGGCTTGATAGAATACTATAGCTCCACTCTGCTACCACTTCCGATTCTCTTCTTAGAAGAGTGAATGCACTTTATCTCAAGAGCTGATACTTTCAGAGCTGACCACTTGGAATTGGATAACCAACTAGAGGGCTTTTTATTCAAGGAAGACGATTTCCTTCTCCTTCTAGCATATTCCTTAGTTGCCTGTAGTTCTTGGTCTAGGGTTGGATCCCAGTGAGATTTTCCCCTTGCATGTTAGCATGTGTGTTGGTGTTGTTTTTCTTCAGATCTTGTTTGGGTAGCTATATTGTTGAGACTTCATTGATATAGTTTCTATGTTCTTTCTAGAAAAGAGATTATGCTTAACGTAAAGGTCTCCTTTTAAAGTTCCATGCACCCACAATCCTACTCTGGTGTCTAGCAGACACATGCTGCTTGGCTTTCAAATGAGAGATAAGATTAACAAAACTAACTACATTCACAGTGGTCACCAACTCCACAGAGTGCCAGATCACCGGTCCAAACCCTCACATTGCCCTCTAAGCATCATGCTTAGCTTATATTGCCTGAACAAGTCACTACGGGAAGAATGGGGAAAACCAAAACTGCATGGAGAGATGAACCTCCAGGGACTACAGGGAGTGGAATCTGAAGACTGTGCTGTCCAGAGGTGAAGGCTTAAGCTAGTGAATACTATGTACAAAGATGAGAGACCAGATCACTGTAGAGAAGCCCCAGGGTTTCCTGGGTAATCTAGACAAAGGCATACTATGGTTTATATGAGGAAACAGTTAAGCCACAGGGCACAATTTTGAAAACAGGTGAAAAGGACCTATACAGGATTCCTAAAAATTGCTTCCTTCTGTTTGTTCACTGGCTAGGACTTGTGATCAAGATGAAAAAGCAGAAGTCTGTTATGTAGAAAAGAGGTAAGACATGCATGACTCAAACTGCTGGGAGATGAAGAGGTGCCAAGCTCCAGATTCACTCTGCAGCAGCTGGTCATGCACTGTGTCTCTTGTAACAGTGGAAGGGACAGGGTCCAACTGATAGATTCTGAAATACAGAGATCTCAGTGAATGTCCGAGGCTCCTGATGCGTGCATAAAGAATGGATTCAGGGAAGCCCTGCCCAGGAATCCAGGATTTCCCACTCTTGGTATAAGTAGCTGGTCCTGAAATATCTGAATGCATTCACAGCTGGATTGCATTTCCTAGCACAGTTTCTTTCTATGTGGTTTAGCTTAATGGGACCAGAATCCACCACTCTTGCCCAGCTAAATCTCCATATAGGCTCTTGCTCAAAAAAAAATTTTTTTTTTACCCATTCTTAATTCTGTTTGTCTCAGAGAATAATCTCCTTTTGCAGGTGTGTTTCGATACCCCAGGAACCCAACTCTGAACCATTGTTCCATTTCTTCTTTGTTCAATCGCCTCTGCCCCATCACTTTCTCTCTGCATCTATAGAGGCCTTTACCCATAAATATATGTACATACCTATCATATACTCACTCAACTACCCATAAACCTACTATTTCCTGGCATCTGTCTCAATAAACCACCCAAGTTTTCTTTTTAAACTTCAACAGTGTTTTTACATATTCAATCCAGTGACTTTTTGTGCCTAAGCACCTTACTTGGTCTCTTTACATCATATGACCTATGGGGTATATTCATGCCTGAATATATTCATGCCCTCTATTTCAACTCAACACCCAGAAAACATTTAACACACTCTCTCTCGGGATCTTAGGAACTGAGACTGTACAGGGATCAAACATAAACAGTATTCAGTATTTGGGATCTGTGTCCATCACTGTTTCTAAGTTAGATGATAGAAAACTCGCAGAGATTGATGTGGTAAGGCAATACACTTTCCCTTTTCTCCAGTCCTGGTTGCTGATTTTAATTCTTCATAGACTGTTTCCTCTTTCTCCTAGCCCCAATCTTGAGAAACATTAATATCTTTAAGAATTTGAATCCTTTCTTCTTCCTGGTCTTGTCATCCTTGTCAACCTTTATCAAGTACACACACAATGTTAAACAATATAGATGCCTTGATTCCAGTGGAATCACTCAGTGGATTGATAGAGTTATATGGATTTTACAGATACATAAATGGAGGCAGATATATAGCTGACAAAGATCTTTTTCCATTCTATGAGTTTCTTCTTCACTTCATTAACTGTTTCCTTAGCTGTACAGAAGCTTTTAGTTCTATGATGACTGGATTGTCAACTATTGGCTGGAATTCCTTGGTTAATGGAGTCATA